CAGCACAACCCTCGGTGTGACCCTGGGATGGGGCTGAACAGCACAACCCTCGGTGTGACCCTGGGATGGGGCTGAACAGCACAACCCTCGGTGTGACCCTGGGATGGGGCTGACGAGCCCCGCTGCCCCCCCAGCACGCAGGACATTGCCTGTTCTGCTGCACGAGGAACAATCTTGTACCAAACACGCGTTACCTTTGTTTTGACAAGGGGTGTTTTCTGAACTGCAGGAGAGACTGCGGACAGCACATAACCATTGCAGTCGGGTTTCAATAACTTGAGTGCCCTGATGTCTGGGTGATTTCTCCAGGTTTCTTTGTCCCCTGGCTTGGCTGGAATGAATACCTAGGTGAACTCTTTAGAGGTTTAGTGTAGAAAATTAAATTCCTTGATTGGTTGGCAGAGGAGCAGCAGTGACCTGCACCATGCTGAGCATCCTACCAGGTCTTCAACAGTTTTTACCTTTTTTCCTAATGAAATGCAAGCAAATTAGTGGGTTTAATTAAAGCTGACTGTTTTTCTCTTACTTTCTCGCTGGTGATGAATGATAGACATTCTGTAACACCAGAGTGTGGTCCCTGCATGCAGAGTATAAAGCAGAGTCATTAAGAGAGGTGTCAGAAGGCAGAGCCTTCACAGAGAGGGGAAAGAACAGAAGAGTGAAAACTGCAATGCTGGGATATAACAGAAGTTATGGTCTTTTCACTACACTCAAGACAGACCTCATACTGACCTCTTGACTCACATATATGTTGATCTATGCTCTTCAATTACCTTAATTCACAGTTTGAGTCCAAAATCGCTGTAACTGCCTTTTGCTCTGTTTCTTACTGCTGATACCAATGTATTTTTAATTCTTTGACAGTGCAAAACAAAAAGGTGCTAAACCGAAAAGGCAAAATAATTAACAAGTATGTGAATCTGTGATTCTGAGAGCCAGGCAGGAATACTGCCACTTTTTACTGCTTTCTGGTATTGTAATGACTCTGTCTCCAGGAAATGTTTATTGTGCATTACAGAATGGCCATGTTGTTCTTTCAGAGGTCTCCCCTCCTCCACAGGTGACTCTTGTTCATTCCAGGAGCAATCAGGGTATTAAACCAGGGTATTCTGTTGCACACGCATGAGGACAGGGAGGTGGAGCCCAGTATAAATCACTTGTGGTGCTCTGATGATACAGTTCTGCTGCACACTTAAACCCTGCCCTTCCTGCAGCAGCCATTCTGCTTTTCACAGCTGAGTCTTCTCTTTTTGTTATTTTTGTTCCCCCCACCCCAATCCTTGTTTCTTCTCTGCTTCAGCCGTGATCCCCCTGACTGACTCTGAACACAAGTTACTGCCTTTGCACTTTGCGGTCGATCCTGGGAAAGACTGGGAGTGGGGAAAAGATGACAATGATAACACCAGACTGGCCAAGTAAGACCTTTCTGTAACTTCAGTGTTAAGCAGTAAAATGTCTTGAGCTGTACCTGGTTGGAGTACTGGGAGAGCTGCCAGGGCTTTGTTCTTGTTCTCTGGTTACGTGGCAGAAGACATGGGTGGGTCTCCAGCTGATGGTCACAATTCAGGCTGCTGTTACACCTCTCCCTGTTATGAAATATTACTTTTTCTTTCAGGCTTTTTGACTGTTCCTTTCTTTTTTTCATCTTTAGTTTGATTCTGTCTCTTGAGGCAAAGCTCAACCTTCTGCACAGCTACATGAATGTAACGTGGATACGCATCCCTTCTGAGACACGGGTAAGGTCAACTCCCCCTCGCTCCAAACAACCAGAGACACAGGGCATGAAGGGTGTTGGGGAGGGAGGGCTGCCTGGAAACACCTCAGTGTCCCAGCAGCAGGGACAAGTCACTCATGCCTCACTGACACTGCAATCAGGCTTATGGATTTATCTGGTTATTTACTCTAATAACACAGTTGCTTGTATATTTTTTGCTGAACTGTATTTTCTAGCTTATCTTTCTGTTACATTTTCCAGTAGTCTGTGTAGTTTAAAGAAACCTCTTCTCACCATTGTTTTTTCAGAAGTTTGGCTTGCTCTTCTAATGCCACTGTTAAGTCACCAATCCCAAGTCCTTTCTGAGAATGCATTGCCCCCCCTGGACAGCTCCCAGTTTAGAGTGGCTGACAAAAGGCCACAGACAGGCTCTGAACTGGAGCCTGACTCTTCCAGAGAGCTATTTTAGAATCATGCCCAGCTGGCACCTACTCAGCTGCAAATTTCTCTGCAAACTGCATTGAATAGATCGAGGGGTTAGTCTGGAGGCTAAAGGTTGCTAGGAGAGCATGGAGGTGATTTAGGCAGCCTGCACAGATGGGGCTTGAACAGAGGAACAGAACACAAAAGGAGAAAGCATTTAGCAACCTGCAAGAGGGGGAAAATCCATTTTTCTACAGTTTCAACACTAGCAGCTACCACATGATAAAAAGGAGAGGCGAAATGGTCCTGTATTTGTAAGTGGTGAGTGTGGAACCTGGGTTACCTGTCCCTGCTGACACTGTGATGGTCAGGTCACAGCAGCACTGTCACCTCTGCTCCCAGCTGGGTGGTGGGTGCTCAGGGATCCCTGAGAGACAGGGGACATGGAAGTACCCAGGGACAAGAAGCAGGCAGGTATTTATATACCACAAGTATATACATCTACAGGTTACCCCTCCCTGAGTCCTTGTGGTTAGTTAAGTGTTCCCTATTTATCTCTAGCAGATTTTGGCTTCGTGGTACCTGAAAGCAAGACTAAATTTTGCAGGAGTTAATGAACAGAGTCCTGTTTTAAAGTACCCTAGGATCCATGTCATTGCATTGTCAAGACAGATGTTTTATCATGTTACCTAAAATATAAAGTGGAACTTGGATTTGTGACACCAGTTTTATCTGCACTGCATTTCCAATAAGCATGAAAGCACATAACTGTGTTCCTCAGCCTTCTGGCTTAAGTTTAATGTGTGATATTCCAGGTGAGACATTCAGCTCTGCTGCATCGTACCTTTGATTTTCACGCACCAGAGACCCGAGCAATGAAAAAGTCAGTTTAAATAAGTCGGGGTTTGAACATAATGGATTTTGAAATATTGCTGCATGCAGGCTTGTGTGCTGGATCCCCCTCACAGCTTTCAGCAGCACCTCGTTCCCCTTCCATGGCAATGTCAGCAGTTCCTTTCCCTGCTGGCTCAGGGACAGCCCCTGGAGGTGCTCCCTGTGGAGTGGCCAGGCCTGTGCTGGTCTCTGCTCCACAGGGAGCTCCTCTCCATGGCTCACACACTGACTGTCACAGAGCCCCCAGTGACTGACCCCTGCCCTACAAATGTACTCGAAAGGAACCAAAAGCTACTTAGGAACAAGAAAGATACAGAGTAAGCACAGCAAAATATGCTTTATTTGGTGAAGAAACCAGTCGAAAATGTCACTGTGTAAATTAAAAAATATATTTATAATCAATGTCAAAATATGTATTGAATTTGGGGGGTCTTTTTGCACCAGTTCCTGCATTAAACCAATTTTTCTGTATCTAATTATAATTACTTTTCCATAGCAGGCCCCTTTGGCTCAACCAGAATCCCCTACAGCTTCAGCTGGGGAAGACGTGCAGTCTCTGGCTGACTCAATGGACTCGGACCGAGATTCCATCTGTAGTAATTCCAATGGCAATAATGGCAAAAACAGTAAAGAAAAAGAAAAGGACAAACAAAGGAAAGATAAAGACAAAACCAGGACGGATTCAGTTGCCAATAAAATAGGAAGCCTCAGTAAAACCCTGGGAATTAAACTGAAAAAGAACATGGGTGGTCTTGGAGGGCTGGTGCACGGCAAAATGAGCAGAGCCAATTCAGGGAATGGAAAAAATGGGGACACAGTAGAGAAGGTCAAAGAGAAGAAGTCAAAGTCTCGAAAAGGGAGCAAAGAGGAGTCGGGCCAGTCTGCGAGCACGTCTCCGTCGGAGAAGACCACCCCGTCCCCCACAGACAGAGCCAGCAGCTCCCCCACGGACAAGGGCAGCGCCAAACCCTTTCCTGACAAGCAGGCTGACCCCTGGAAGTACAGCACTGACGTGAAGCTCAGCCTGAACATTCTGAGAGCTGCCATGCAGGGTGAACGGAAGTTTATTTTTGCTGGCCTTCTTTTGACCAGTCACAGGCATCAGTTCCACGAGGAGATGATCGGTTATTACCTGACCAGTGCCCAGGAGCGATTCAATGCAGAGCAGGAACAGAAGAGGAAGGAAGCTGAGAAAAAGGCCGCACTGAATGGCTCATCTAGTAGGAAACTGGAGCCAGAAGCATATTCAAAAGAAAAATTGGAAACATCTCCTCAGGATAGGGCATCACCCGTCTTGCCTCAAAGCCATACAACCCAGCTGGTTTTAAAGTTCAAAGACCGCACTAGTCCCACCCCCGGGCCCTTCTCCTCCCCCAACAGTGGTGCCAAGAGGAGTGGCCCCATCCCAGTGTCTGCCCACTACAGCCATACTCCCCCTGTCCAAAGGCAGAGTGTCATCCATTTGCATGACGTCAACTCCAAGCCATCGAGCTTCCAAGACGACACCTACAAGCCAGTGGTGGGCACCTTGAAGACCTGTGCCACCTACCCCCAGCAGAACAGGTCCCTGTCCTCCCAGAGCTACAGCCCGGCCCGGCTGCCCGGGATCCGCACGGTGAACACGGTGGAGTCGCTGAGCTGTGCCCTGCCCGCCGAGCACAAGTCCCAGACCTACACCAACGGCTTCAACACCGCGGACATCAGGGACTGCCTGGAGTACGCGGACGAGGACGCTCCCCAGACCTGGCTGAACAATGACAAAAACCAAGGCAGAAGCACAGTTTGCCCAATCTACTCCATCCAGCAGAACCGCTGTAAGAAGGAGAACTGTTCCTTTTATGGTCGTCCTGAGACTGACAATTACTGTTCCTACTGCTACAAGGAGGAGCTGAAGCGCAGGGAGAGGGACAGCAAGGGACACAGGCATTGAGGATTCTTCCTGACTACTTAGTTTTACCATTTTCTTACTTACAAAGTAAACAGTGTTGGATTGCAGTAAAAGGAATCCTTAAAACAAGAATAAAGGATTGATGAGTAAATAGTGTCTAGCTTTTCGCTTTTCCGGGGCAATGAGGAAATAATAGGATTAATTTATCATAAAAAATATTATTTTCCATTTTGTCAGTGTCTTTTTTACATATACTGGTAAGCTGAAGGGTTGTTTACTCCTTTGTCAGTGCTGTGTATATGTTTGGTCAAAAATTTACTAATGGTGCCTGAATTTACACTGACATCACTCAGGTAGTAGAATGATAGTGGCGAGTCATAATAACAGAGATGTGGTGTTGTGGTAGGGTAGTGTCTGCCTTGCAGACCTTTGAAATGATAGAGCTATTATGAGAGTCTTTTTTCCTCAGTAAAACCTAAATTTTTCATAGCCTTTTTTTTCAGGAGGGTAGTGATTTTGCATACTGCACATTTTTAACATGGCAGCATATTGCATTGCTACTAATGTTTGTACTTACTTCACTCTGAAATGGAATGATTCTGGAAAAATGGGAGTGAAAGGTCTGAATTCATGAGGGCTGTAGCTCTTCCTAATTTTAAGTTCTTACCAATTATTTCTACATTTCCATTAAAAAGAAAAAAAAAAGAAGTAGATTCGAACCACTTTTATTTGCACTGAATTTTTAAACAGGTTTTATAAAAAAATTCATTATGACTTTCAAGACTTCATGTCCCAAAACCACCACATAATATAGTTTTGGGCACCTGAATTTCAAAAGTATTTTCATTGCTGTTAAAATGCAGAGAAATATTAAAATAAAATTAAAATATAAAAATGTTATTACATTTGGAAAATTTGATGACCAGCTAGGAAATTTAGGATCATTTTAGATCTGAATGAACTGCTTGTCAAAACAAATGTAATGTATCAATTTATTGCCTTAGCTAGTGTATGAGCCTAATCATTAGTTATTTATTCATTTCTCAGCATTACTGAGTGATAATTCTTGCAAGCCTAACTACGTGAGCCTTTCTTGAAGACTGTTGGCTCCACCTATTTCCAAGTCTTCTCCCAGAGTGAGTCATCTCCACCCAGGAGGTTCCCAGATGGCTGTAAAATACCTCCAGCAGGAATGGCAGCTCCGAGCACAGATTTGCACAAGCCTGATATCCAAATATTTACAGAAGTATTTGCAATACTTTTGAAAATAAAACTTAGCTCACAGAAACATTTCTGTAAAGAGATGCTGGTGAAGTAGATGAATGACACGAGAAGGTTTCCTGGAAGGTTTTGCGCCCTCCACCATCAGTGGCACAGTGTAGAAACAAGAGCTCAGTGGCTCATTTACTTTCCCCTTACACACGGGGCTTTTATAAAGAGCTAATTTTCCACCAGCAGGTGAAGCACTGCCTTCAGGACTTCCTCTGCCACCCAAAGGTGCACAACATGAGTTCTGCCTTCCTCACTATGGAATAGCACTTTTCTGGCCCTCACAGGAAAGATCCTTTGCCAAAGAGTCTTTGTTTCTGATTCTTTTTCTGCTGTACCCCAATTTTTGCTCTTAACGTGGGTGGCATCATTTCACTGGTTAATCAGGGTTAACCCTAATTAACCCTGAAACCAAGCCTAAAGTCATCTGCAAAACAGGATGCACAAGCTTCTGCTGCCATGTGCTGGCTTTGAGGAAAAGCACATGAGCTTTTCCTAATGTCCCACCGAAATTGGTGGAACTGAGCATATGCTTAAAACTGACTGTATTTTTAGGTTTTCTGCTGAATGGTAGGTCTCAAAATAAGTCCCTTAACCAGTCCTAAAAAGTGAGGGTCTTTGCCATGTTAGGTATTCCATGAATCCAGGCCTGTACTTCACATTCCTTGCTGTATTCTGAGCATACACTGAGTCTCACTGAACTTGCTTCCTTCCTGAAAGGGAAATTCTGGTGTGTGTTAAAGCTCCATGTGACTCCTGTCCCCAAGGTAAGCACGTTCCAAACCCGTGTCTCCAGCTGCATACACTGGTGAGCAGTGCCCTGTTTGGTTTGCTGTTGTGATTACATCTAATTTCTAATTGTCAAAGACAACTGGGATTGCAGATTATGCTAAAACAGGCCAGATTATGTAAAAAGAAATCAAATATTACACTTGATTGTATTTGCTGCAGAGACTGAGAAAACTGGAAGGATGAAACTTCACAAAAGCCAGAAATATTTAAGAATTCTTAGGGCATTAGAGTAGCAGTAGCATTTGATACTCTGAGAATCACTTCTGTGTAAAGCTGTGCTTTAGAAATACATTAGCAGCAATCCACACCAGTCTGTGTATTTGAGTGAGTTGTATCTTTCTCAGTGAGGAAAAAAGTAACAGCACATATATAAAAATAAGCAAGCACCATGAGAATTCACTGTTTCCCATTTTTTAAAGGATTTGTTTCTATAGTATGTTTCTAAGATCTCCTACTCGTAAAAGAAAGAGATTTACAACTGGTCAGCATGTAGATAAAATTACTCTATTCTAAATTATTGAATACATTGTATGTTAGATTGTTTTGAAAAGTTAATTGGTCTTCTGAATAATAATCAGGCTTGTCTCTATAGGATACCAAACTTGAGTGTTCATTGTCATCCTCAGGACACTCAGATATTTCCATAAAGATTTACCACTGCTGGACTGCTCATTTTAAAATACGTGTTATATGAAATACTGACAGAACACCTTTCAGTTGTGCCTGTTTCCTCAGAATCCTTTTCTTGGAATATCTTTGAATAATTTTCTAATCACTGTTTTCTTTCAGAACTCTCTCCAAATACCACAATTCTCTTGTCCCCTGACATTTGCTATTGAAAAGAACTTGTAGGCCTACAATGCAATTTGCCAGTTAAAATCTACCCATAATTTCCTGCTAGTTCTCCTTTTTTCTGGATATGTAGTACTGGGGGGGGGTTCCTTCTTTTTCTTTCTGAGCTCTTTGTGGCAGTTGTCTGCATAATGCCACAGTTGGCATTAAACAGTCCAAACCTGCAGGAACAGTGCCTCCTCCTGAAGGAGTGGTTGTCCCATTAGAAGAAGTCTCCAACTACAAAAGGAAATTTTCTGCCTGTTTTTTTAGAGAGAATTCCCAACTGCTCGTGAGTTGCATTCACCAGGCACTGAAAGAAATTGTATCATTCCTGAGCTATGTGTGAGAGGCAATAATCTTCATACATAGTTTTCTGTTGCACTATCTGCTAACCTTTGACTGCTGTTTTGGTTTATTTTTCCTGACAGCTGAAGGTATCTGCAGCCCACAGGCCAGTCAGTTCTCTGTGCCTGCTCTGCCCTCTCTGTGCCCTCCAGACCTTGTGCAGTTACCTCCTAGTCCCAGACGTACAGAAATCAGGGTTGGCTGGGGGGACCTGACTCATTCCTTGTGTAGCTCAGGTGGCTGCAATACTCACATATAGTTTTGCATTTGAATGTGCTTTTTTCCCCCCTTTCTCCTTGATAGTGATTCAACATTTAGCACTGTTGTCTAGATCTCTGAAGTACAGACTAAATACTGGGTAGGCTACACCTTCCCAGAACAGATCCAAAATTACCAGGAGATATGTAGGTTGAGGGAAGCTGGAATTCTTTTCACGTGTGAATGTGCAACTTTTCTAATTTAAGAAAGACTTAAACCTATTATGCAGTTTTTTTAGTTTATTCATAAACTCTGATACAAAGGTCTGTAACAGAGGATGCCTGTGATACATAATGGGTTTCAGTCACACTTTATATTAAAGTTCCATTTAAAATGCTTTATAAGGAGTTGATAAACCACAGACTTTACAAGTATATTTTCAGAGGTGGGTATCAGTTGTAGCATATGGATAACAAGCACTTCATTCAGAAGAAGGTTTTGCAGGTTATCAGAAGTAACTTCAGGTATTTTGGATTTTAAAAAATTGGTTAACTTTTTGTTCTATACATGCAATGAGAATATTGTCCCAGCTTTCTTTAGCAATTAGTTGCTTCTTCCTAAGTCAAAGGTAACATTAAGGGTATCAGTGAAGGAAAGATGCTGTACTTGAAAAATTTTGTGTTGCTTATTTCTTAAGAAGTCTAAATAGGCCAAGTGAAGTCTTCAGAGTCATCTTTTCTCCAGCTGAACACTGGTGTGAGCAGAGTTCCTGGGTCCAGAAGGACTGAGCAGACCCCGTGGACATCTGAGGCAGGGTCAGTCCTTGCACAGGGCACAGTCAGGGTCATCTACTTCTCGTGTGATGAATGTGTAGATATCAAAAATGCACAGCACAGATCTGACAAAATACTGCCCTCCAACTCTCCAATTCTGCAAACACTTACACTGGTGCTCAACTTCACCCACCTGAACAGTCTCCTGACAGCAAGGAGTCTGCTGCTTTTCAGAAACTTCCAGAAAGTGTCAAGGAAAAGCGTGAATGTTTTTATCAAGGCCTGAGCCTTCAGCCAGTGTCTGTTCCCCACAGGCTGCCTGATGTTACTCTTCCAGCAAGAGAATCAGTGAGAATTTTGCCTGAGGAGTAAAGGGAAGCCTTAGGCCTCTTTGGACTAAATCTGCTGTCCCCTGAAATCTGAGGACAGAATCCCATTGGTAGTGGGGGCCTTAAATCAGGTGCTTCATTGACATGTAAAATACTTGCAAGCTGGACATGAAAGTGGAGTACAAGCTCATAAGGAAGTAAAGTCTTCATAACACTGGGAGAGTTTTGCACAGGTGAAAACCCATATGTTAATAGAAACCACAATAATCTCAAATAAACATAGGTCCAGAGAAACAAAATAACCGATGCTGATTGTAGATTGCTTTTCAGCTTAGTATATTTGAAGTCTCTGTCAGTGTATTTGAAGAGTATTTGTTTTAGAGAATGGCAGCTTACGAGAATCACCAAACATGTATAGCATAGGAGTGAAATTATTTCAGTAACAGACACTAGTATCTATTTTAATTTGCACATGGATTTTCCAGTGTATATGACTAAAACACTGTATTGTTAAAAATGAGAGGAAAAGAACACAAAGGTGTTTGTAAGTATGTTCTATTTGTAGACTTAAGGCTGTATTATGTTGGAATTTTACAAGCCAAGTTTAAATT